CTGAGCGAGGGCTTGGGGCGGCCGTTCCGCGGCATCCACGTCACCGCGCTGGGCGCCGGCCCTGCCCACGCGCTCTACTTCGCCTGCTACGAGCAGTTGAAGAGACAGCTCAGTGAGGTCCTGCAGCAGGGAGGAAACAGCCACCTGGCCAATGGTATTGAAAAAAAACCCCAAATCTGTCCCAAAATCTGTCCCTTACTTGCTTTTTTTTCATTCTTTCCAATCAAAATTCTTATTTAACTTCAGCTGCTACCAGCAAACGAAGAAACAGCTCAATGAGCTTCTCCAGCCACTTGGCCAATGGTATTTAAAAAAAAACAAACCAAAATCTGCCCTAAAATCTGTCCCCAAATCTGTCTCTTACTCGCTTCTCGCTCAGCCTTCCCAGTCAAAATTGTTATTGAAATTCGTGTGCTACGAGCAGATCAAGAGACAGCTCAGTGAGCTTCTTCAGCAGGGAGGAAACAGCCACCTGGCCAATGGTATTGAAAAAAAAAACCCAAAATCTGTACCAAATTCTGTCCTTTACTTGCTTCTCGCTCACTTCTCGTTCATTCTTTCCAATCAAAATTCTTATTGAACTATGCCTGTTATAAGCAAGTGAAGAAAGCTCAGTGAGCTTCTCCGGTAGGGAGGAAACAGCCACCTGGCCAATGGTACTGAAAAAAAAACCCCAAATCTGTCCCTTATTTGCTTCTTGCTCAGCCAGGTGCCCTTCCCAATCAAAATTCTTATTTAACTTTGTCGGCTATGAGCACATGAAGGTACAGCTCAGTGAGCTGCTGCAGCAGGGAGGGAACAGCCACCTGGCCAATGGTATTGAAAAAAAAACCCAAATCTGTCCCAAATTTGTTCCTTACTTGCTTCTTGTTCATTCTTTCCAATCAAAATTGTTATTGAGTTACACCTGCTATGAGCAGATCAAGAGACAGCTCAGTGAGGTCCTGCAGCAGGGAGGAAACAGCCACCTGGCCAATGGTATTGGAAAAAAAAAACCCCGAATTTCTACCAAAATCTGTCCCTTATTCGCTTCTCATTCATTCTTCCCGATCAAAATTTGTATTCAACTTCATCTGCTACGAGCACATAAAGAGACAGCTCAGTGAGCTGCTGCAGCAGGGAGGAAACAGCCACCTGGCCAATGGTATTGAAAAAAAACCCCAAATCTGTCCCAAATTTGTTCCTTACTTGCTTCTTGTTCATTCTTTCCAATCAAAATTGTTATTGAGTTACACCTGCTATGAGCAGATTAAGAGACAGCTCAGTGAGGTCCTGCAGCAGGGAGGAAACAGCCACCTGGCCAATGGTATTGAAAAAAAAAAATCCCTGAATCTGTCCTAAAATCTGTCCTAAAATCTGTTCCAAATTCTTATTGAAATTTGTGTGCTATGAGCACATCAAGAGACAGCTCAGTGAGGTTCTGCAGCAGGGAGGAAACAGCCACCTGGCCAATGGTATTGAAAAAAAACCCAAAAATTTGTCCCAAATCTCTCCTGAATCTGTCCCCAAATCTGTCCCAAAATCTGTCCCTTACTCACTTCTCTTTCAGCTTTCCCAGTCAAAATTCTTATTTCACTTTGCCTTATTTCACTATAGGCAGTGAGCTCTGCAGCAGGGAGGAAACAGGCACCTGGCCAATGGTATTGAAAAAAAAACCTAAATCTATACCAAAATCTGTCCTTTACTTGCTTCTCGCTCACTTCTCATTCATTCTTTCCTATCAAAATTCTTATTTAACTTTGTCGGCTATGAGCAAATGAAGAAAGCTCTGTGAGCTTTTGCAGCAGGGAGGAAACAGCCACCTGGCCAATGGTATTGAAAAAAAACCCCAAATCTGTCCTAAAATCTGTTCCTTACTCACTTCTCGTTCATTCTTTCCAATCAAAATTGTTATTGAGTTACACCTGCTATGAGCAAATGAAGAAAGCTCAATGAGCTTCTCCAGCAGGGAGGAAACAGCCACCTGGCCAATGGTATTGAAAAAAAAACCCCAAATCTGTCCCAAAATATGTCCAGTGCTCTCTTCTCGTTCATTCTTTCCAATCAAAATTCATATTTCCATTCACCTGCTATGAGTAGATGAAGAGACAGCTCAGTGAGGTCCTGCAGCAGGGAGGAAGCAGCCACCTGGCCAATGGTATTGAAAAAAAAAACCCCAAAATCTGTCCCAAATCTGTCTCTTATTCGCTTCTCATTCAGCCTTTCCAGTCAAAATTGTTATTGAGTTACGCCTGCTCTTAAGTTTAGGAATATGAGGAATATTTTAATTTAAAGCTTGGGAATATCAGGTATCTTTTAGTTTTAAGCCTAGGAATATTTTGCTTTTTAGTTACATCAGAAATATTTTGC